AGAAGGAAAGGAAGGAGAAGGAGAAGAAAGGAGAGGAGGGAAGGAGAAGGAAGAAAGGAAGAAGGAGGGGAAGAGGAAGAAGAAAGAAAGAAGTGAAAGAGAGGAAGAAAGGAAGAGAGAGAAGGGGAGAAGAAGGAAGAAGGAAAAGAGGAGGGAAAAGGAGAGGAAAGAGAAGAAAGAAGAGGAGGAGGAAGGAGAAGGGGAAGGAAGGAAGAAAAGGAGGAAGGAAGAGGAAGAGAAGGAGAAGGAAAGAGAAGGGAAAGAAGGAGAAGAGGAGAAGGGAAGGAGAAGGAAGAAGGAAAGGAAGAGAAAGAAGGGGAGAAAGAGAAGGAAAGAAGGAAGAAGGAAGAAGAGGAGGAGAAGAAGGAGGAGAAGAGGGAGGGAGGAGAAAGGAGAGAAAGGAAGGGAAGAAGGATGAGGAAGTCAGGGCAACCTGTCATTTGTATTACATTTTTAACAAAACAAACAAACAAACAAACAGACAAAACACAAAGTTTGCAAGCTTGGTAGTTGATTAAATGTCCTTTGACCAGTATCTGTCCCCTTGGAGTGCCTCTGGTGTTGCCGCAAGGAGGTCCTCCCTGGTGCATCATGTGGCAGGGCTCAGGTTGCATTGCAGCAGGTGGTCAGTGGTTTGCTCCTCTCCCCACTCACATGCCATGGATTCCCATTTCCTAAGGTTGGCTGTGCATCTCGTGGTGCCCCAGGCTCTGCCAAGCCATCAAATGCTAATCAAGGCGATCAGTTGAAAAATTCCCACCTAGCTCCAACAGACAAGAGTTTTTTGTCCCACCCTGGTCATTCCACAGATATATAAACCCTTTCCTAGTTCCAACAGACCTCACTACCTCTGAGGATGCTTGCCATAGATGCAGGCGAAACGTCAGGAGAGAATGCCTCTAGAACATGGCCATAGCCCGAAAAAACCTACAACAACCCATTCACACCTAGCTCCAGCAGACAAGAGTCCTTTTGTCCCACCCTGGTCATTCCACAGATATATAAACCCTTTTTCCTAGTTCCAACAGACCTCACTACCTCTGAGGATGCTTGCCATAGATGCAGGCGAAACGTCAGGAGAGAATGCCTCTAGACCAGGGGTAGGGAACCTTTGGCCCTCCAGCTGTGGTGGACTTCAACTCCCACAATTCCTTGAGGCTCGGCATTCGCCCCCAAGGCTTACCTTGGCCCAATGCCGAGCCTCAAGGAATTCTGAGGATGCTTGCCATAGATGCAGGCGAAATGTCAGGAGAGAATGCCTCTAGAGACCATGGCCATATAGCCCGAAAAAACTACAACAACCCATTCACACCTAGCTCCAGCAGACAAGAGTCCTTTGTCCCACCCTGGTCATTCCACAGATATATAAACCCTTTTTCCTAGTTCCAACAGACCTCACTACCTCTGAGGATGCTTGCCATAGATGCAGGCGAAACGTCAGGAGAGAATGCCTCTAGACCATGGCCATACAGCCCAAAAAAACCTACAACAACCCATTCACACCTAGCTCCAGCAGACAAGAGTCCTTTGTCCCACCCTGGTCATTCCACAGATATATAAACCCTTTTTCCTAGTTCCAACAGACCTCACTACCTCTGAGGATGCTTGCCATAGATGCAGGCGAAACGTCAGGAGAGAATGCCTCTAGAACACGGCCATATAGCCCGAAGAAACCTACAACAACCCAGTGATTCCGGCCATGGAAGCCTTCGACAATACATTCAATGCCGGGAGACAAATTCTTATATACGTACATAAACATTAAAAATATTTATCAAAATATTAAAATACCATTTAAAACTGTCCTAGTCATCCACGTCAAATCTAATTAGCCTGGGAATTAATTGTTGGCTCTTGTTCCATAGCGATGAAGATGGAGAATAAAGTTAGGGCAATAACACATCTTCCCTGTTTGACCCCTGATTCCGCCTTAAATGGGTCACTTTGGGAGCCATGGCTGTCCAGGACTGTTGCCATCATGTCATCATGGAGGAGCTGCAGGATGTTCACAAATTTGTTAGGCCACCTGATTTTTTGGAGGATGGTCCAGAGAGCGCTGCCATTCACCATGTCGAATGCCTTTGCAAGGCCAATTTAAATAATCTATATATATATATATAAATGCTCTGTGCATAATGAGTACCTTAAAAACAAAAGAACCAATGAACGAAATCACACCAAATTTGGCAACAAAACGTCTCACAACACAAGGAGTGACCATCACTCAAAAAATTATGATTTTGTCATTTGGGAGTTGTAGTTTCTGGGATTTATAGTTCACCTATAACAAAGATGCAATATTCCTGCTTCTTGGCAGGGGGTTGGACTGGATGGCCCATGAGGTCTCTTCCAACTCTTTGATTCTATGATTTTATGATTCTTCGCCTGTTAACCGGAAGCCTAAATACTTTTTGCCAATGAAAACATTACGTTCTTGCCAACATGAAAGCATTACAGTGACCTTTCACCGACCTAGCTTTTTTCTTGCTGGCTATCCGTGAACTCCTCCTGACCCGCCAATCTAAACCCTGCCTGCTCATTAAATCACTATCAAAGCTCTCTTCTCTATCAGCATGAGACGGCTGAGAAAGAGGAGGCCTCTGCACCTGGTCGTTATCTAACTCGCTGGACGACAACGGGGTCAAATATTCCTACACTTTTGAGCTCCGAGACACAGGGCGATATGGCTTCATTTTGCCCGCGGACCAGATCATCCCGACCGCAGAAGAAACCTGGGTCGCGCTCAAGAAGATCCTGGAACATGTCCATAGCCACCCTTATTAAAACCCAGAGCAGGGTCCAGCAAAGTCCAACCCCCTTCGGTCGTGCAGGAATCCACAACTAAAGCACTCCTGAAAGATAACCATCCCCTGTGATAGAATACTTTTGTGATAAGGAACCGGGGTTTTAATTTAGTGGCATAAATCGCAAGTGGGAAATAAAAATATACATAATGATTGCTGTCTTTTGGGTGTGCCTTTTTCTCTATGTGATGAGGTGGTTTGAGTGTTGGACAAGATCTCTGGAGACCTGGGTTCAAGTTTCTTCTTGGTCATAGAAACCCAAGAGATATATTTGGACAAATCACACTCACCTCTGAACAAACCTTGCAAAGAAAACCCTGTGATCAGTTCAGCTTAGGTTTACCATTAAGTCCTGGGGTCTGTAGTTTGGTAAAACACCAAAACTCATAGTGACAACTTGTAAAGCTACAACTCTCAGAACGCCATACAATTGAGACATTGTTGACACAAGCTGCCATGTCCCTCTATTACCAAGTAACCCGGGGTTGTTGTTCAATCAGAATCTGAAGGCAAGGCAATCGTTCAACAGGTTTATTTGATCAAACCGCCCTGCTGGGTGAACAAAGTGCCCCACACAAATCAGGCAAAATGTGATAGGTTCAGATTCAAAGTGAAGTTCATGTTTTGCCCTATTTATTTACTTACTTAGGCGATCCCTCGTTGGCTGAGTAGGATAGTCTTCCAGGGACAGTATTCTTGTGAGTCTGTAGGTGGCTGTGGAGCCCTATTCTTGATCTGCATCTTCTTCTGCAGTGAGGGCATCGGTTTCCAGGTGGAAGGCGGTCTCGGTCGGGGTTGGCTTGACACGCCTTCCTCTTGGCACGTTTCTCTCTTTCAACCTCCATTCGTGCCCCTTCAAATTCTGCAGCACTGCTGGTCACAGCTGACCTCTAGCTGGAGCGCTCAAGGGCCAGGGCTTCCCAGTTCTCATTGTCTATGCCAAAGTTTTTAAGGTTGGCCTTTTGCCCTATTATGTAGCTACGTCTATTCTACCTATTTGGGTCTTTGTCGGCACAATAGCCATAGCATGCAGAATCTCTCATAGCAGCAAATGGAGCCTAAACTAGGGAAACAGCATGATAGCCAATAAAGCCACAGTTCTGCCAGACAGAATCATGTGTTAGGGGTTGTTTAGAGGTTGTATGTATACCCAAATTCAGGTAGAATCATAGTTGGAAGAGACCCACCGGGCTATCCAGTCCCACTCCTTTCTGCCAGACAGGGAGGCACAACCCAAGCCCTCTCAACAGATGGCCATCTGTTTTTCTATTTTAAATTTCTATTTTAAAACCTCCAGAGAGGAAGTGTCTCTCTCACCCGAGTATCCCAATGACTGAGAGCCTCTCTGCTAGAGATTTCCTTTCCTTGGTTCAAGGAAGATGTTGTTGTTGTTCATTTGTTCAGTCGTCTCCGACTCTTCGTGACCTCATGGACCAGCCCACGCCAGAGCTCCCTGTCGGCCGTCACCACCCCCAGCTCCTTCAAGGTCAGTCCAGTCACTTCAAGGATGCCATCCATCCATCTTGCCCTTGGTCGGCCCCTCTTCCTTTTGCCTTCCACTTTCCCCAGCATCATTCCCTTCTCTAGGCTTTGCTGTCTCCTCATGATGTGGCCAAGGAAGATATCTACCGCAAAATAGTCACAGATTTGTGGCAGAAAATGGGGGTCATTAACACCATGTAACACGATTTTTGTATCATAAAAACATGGGAAAAGTTTATTAAACTGCAAAAAAATTGTTGTTGCAGGAGGGACATCCTGCTATAGTTTTTCAATTAAAATCTCATAGAGTCTTATATAATTCAACCTACATTATGGCAGCCACAAAAATGATGTTTCTGGAGCAGAACAATGACTTTCAAAGTAAGGACTGCACAATTAAACAGGAAATAATATTTTCAAACCAGGAACAGAAAAAAAAATCAGATTTTGTTTCATAGAGTTATTTCTAGTGTGAAACAGGACAGCAATAACATTGCCTCACAGCTCCAGGGATTCCTAGATGACACCGATTATTTGGATTGATGACAATCTGGTTTCAGGCCTGGTCACAGTACAGAGATGGCTTTGGTCGCCTTGGTGGCTGACCTCCGCAGGGAACTGGACAGGGGAAGTGCGACCCTGCTGGTTCTCTTGGACATCCCAGAAGCTTTTGATACCATCAACCATGGTATCCTTCTGGGACGGCTCTCCGGGATGGACTTGGGGGCACAGTTTTATTGTGGCTCCGATTTTTCTGGAGGATCATTCCCCGTTGGTGAAGCTGGGGGACACCTGCTGGGACCCATGGCCCTTGACCTGTGGGATCCTGCAAGGTTCCATTCTGTCTCCCATGCTTTTCAACATCTACATGAAACCGCTGGGAGAGGTCATCTGGAGTTTTGGAGTTGGGTACCATCTCTATGTAGATGACGCCCAACTCCACTATTCCACCGGAATCCAAGGAAGCCCCACGGGTTCTGGACCAGTGCCTGGCTGCTGTGATGATCTGGATGAGGGTGAACAAGCTGAAGATCAATCCTGACAAGATAGAGGTCCTCCAGGTCAGTTGTACGTCTGACCGGCATATAGGGTGGCAACCTGTGCTTGACGGGGTTGCACTCCCCCTGAAGACACAGGTCTGCAGCTTGGAGGTCCTCCTGGACTCAGTGCTGACGCTTGATGCACAGGTGTCAGCGGTGGCCGAGAGGGCCTTCATAAAATCATAGAATCATAGAGTTGGAAGAGACCTTGTGGGCCATCCAGTCCAACTCCCTACCAAGAAGCAGGACTATCGTGTTCAAAGCACCCCCGATAGATGGCCATCCAGCCTCTGTTTAAAACAGTGGTTCTCAGCCTGTGGTCCCCAGATGTTTTTGTCCCTCAACCCCCAGAAATCCTAACAGCTGGTAAACTGGCTGGGATTTCTGGGAATTGTAGGCCAAA